ATTATAAATGAAAAGTAGGCCTTATTAAATGGCTGAAGCTAATTTAAAAAATTATTGTGAGTATAAAACTTAATTAAAAAATTATTATAAATCTTAAATTACTTGGTAATTTTATTAAATATTATATTAAAAAAATTTTCTTTTCCTTATTTTTTCATATTTATTTTTTTTCTTCTTCTTCTTCACTTTCTTTAATAACGTTGGGGTCCCAAAGAGCCAGCTCCGCGGTAATTAGTCAAAGCCAATCTTTTATTCTAGTCAATTTTTTTTAGTCAAGTCTCCTAAATTTTCTAGTCACATGCATTTATTTTCTAAATTTACATTATTTGCAAATTTTTAATTGCATTTTTACAAATTTTTATAAAATGTAACCTGTTCATAATAATGAAAAAGTAGACTGAAATTGTAAAAATTTGAAATTGGAAAATTTATTTTTTTTATTTATTTTAAAAAGAAATTAATTTTGAATAAAAAAATAAATTTGAAATAAATTTTTTAGAAAATTTATTTCAAGTTATATTAAAATTGGAAAATTAATATTTATTTATAAATTTTAGGTATGCCAATTGATTTTTAATAAAAATTTATAATATAGATTAATTACATAGACGACTAAAAAATAACGACAAGTCCACGGAAGATAATCAATAAGAATTCTGAAATTAAAAGAATATTAATTTTAAAAGCTGTATTTTACAAACATTTATTTTATCTTAATTTAAGTAATTTTTATATTCAAACAATTAGTAAATACGCTTTCTTCTAAAAATTATTTGATATTTTTATTAATTCCCTGCTTATTAAATTAGATTTCCATTTAAATTGAAAATGAAATATTTATTTTGCAAAAAATAGGATCATTGTCCATGATAAATTTTTTCAGCCTGAGCATCTTGGCGTATAATTATAAACAATATCAATTACATTATAATTCTATTAAAACATAAAAAAATTAGCTTAGCTGTATTAAATAATTGGATAATTCATATCAGTAAAAATATAACTCAGTATACGCCAGTATACAGCCACTATATTTTCAATTTAGTTTTATAAGTTCATCTATGTTTAAATAATTTTAATCTTTCTTTATTTTCTTTAAAATTTAGAATAATATTTGGGCAGATAAAACCGCTTATTCATATTTCTTTATTTTCTTTAAAATTTAGAATAACATTTGTGCGGATAAAACCGCTCATTCATATTTCTTTATTTGATTTAAAATTTAGAATAATATTTGGGCGGATAAAACCGCTTATTCATATTTCTTTATTTTCTTTAAAATTTAGAATAACATTTGGGCGGATAAAACCGCTTATTCATATTTCTTTATTTTCTTTAAAATTTAGAATAACATTTGGGCGGATAAAACCGCTTATTCATATTTCTTTATTTTCTTTAAAATTTAGAATAACATTTGGGCGGATAAAACCGCTTATTCATATTTCTTTATTTTCTTTAAAATTTAGAATAACATTTGGGCAGATAAAACCGCTTATTCATATTTCTTTATTTTCTTTAAAATTTAGAATAACATTTGGGCGGATAAAACCGCTTATTCATATTTCTTTATTTGCTTTAAAATTTAGAATAACATTTGGGCAGATAAAACCGCTTATTCATATTTCTTTATTTTCTTTAAAATTTAGAATAACATTTGGGCAGATAAAACCGCTTATTCATATTTCTTTATTTTCTTTAAAATTTAGAATAACATTTGGGCGGATAAAACCGCTTATTCATATTTCTTTATTTTCTTTAAAATTTAGAATAACATTTAAGCGGATAAAACCGCTTATTCATATTTCTTTATTTTCTTTAAAATTTAGAATAACATTTGGGCGGATAAAACCGCTTATTCATATTTCTTTATTTTCTTTAAAATTTAGAATAACATTTGGGCAGATACAACCGCTTATTCATATTTCTTTATTTTCTTTAAAATTTAGAATAACATTTGGGCAGATAAAACCGCTTATTCATATTTCTTTATTTTCTTTAAAATTTAGAATAACATTTGGGCGGATAAAACCGCTTATTCATATTTCTTTATTTTCTTTAAAATTTAGAATAACATTTGGGCAGATAAAACCGCTTATTCATATTTCTTTATTTTCTTTAAAATTTAGAATAACATTTGGGCGGATAAAACCGCTTATTCATATTTCTTTATTTTCTTTAAAATTTAGAATAACATTTGGGCGGATAAAACCGCTTATTCATATTTCTTTATTTTCTTTAAAATTTAGAATAACATTTGGGCAGATAAAACCGCTTATTCATATTTCTTTATTTTCTTTAAAATTTAGAATAACATTTGGGCGGATAAAACCGCTTATTCATATTTCTTTATTTTCTTTAAAATTTAGAATAACATTTGGGCAGATAAAACCGCTTATTCATATTTCTTTATTTTCTTTAAAATTTAGAATAACATTTGGGCAGATAAAACCGCTTATTCATATTTCTTTATTTTCTTTAAAATTTAGAATAACATTTGGGCGGATAAAACCGCTTATTCATATTTCTTTATTTTCTTTAAAATTTAGAATAACATTTGGGCGGATAAAACCGCTTATTCATATTTCTTTATTTTCTTTAAAATTTAGAATAACATTTGGGCGGATAAAACCGCTTATTCATATTTCTTTATTTTCTTTAAAATTTAGAATAACATTTGGGCGGATAAAACCGCTTATTCATATTTCTTTATTTTCTTTAAAATTTAGAATAACATTTGGGCAGATAAAACCGCTTATTCATATTTCTTTATTTTCTTTAAAATTTAGAATAACATTTGGGCGGATAAAACCGCTTATTCATATTTCTTTATTTTCTTTAAAATTTAGAATAACATTTGGGCAGATAAAACCGCTTATTCATATTTCTTTATTTTCTTTAAAATTTAGAATAACATTTGGGCGGATAAAACCGCTTATTCATATTTCTTTATTTTCTTTAAAATTTAGAATAACATTTGGGCAGATAAAACCGCTTATTCATATTTCTTTATTTTCTTTAAAATTTAGAATAACATTTGGGCGGATAAAACCGCTTATTCATATTTCTTTATTTTCTTTAAAATTTAGAATAACATTTGGGCAGATAAAACCGCTTATTCATATTTCTTTATTTTCTTTAAAATTTAGAAATAAAGAAATATGAATATTTTTTTTTATTTCTTTAAAATTAGAAAATAAAGAAATATGAATAAGCCCTCGAAAATCGAAAAACCATAGGGGGGACCAAGCACTTTTTTCGGGTATAATTTATCCCTCCTTGCTTTGAATCTAGTTTCTATCCTTATCTTGACTTACTATGTCTCCCAATATGTCCAACTGTTCTCGGACTTTAAGTTGTTCTCGGACTTACAAAACTCGTCTTTTTTGTTAATATTTGTTAAAGTTTGATAGTTTGTTAAAGCTTGTTCAATTTATAGAATATTTTAACATATTTTTTTTGCGGTATGCTGTTTACGACTAAAATAAGAGTAAACAATTGTATTATATGTTTATTAATATAAGCAATTGTCATCTGGTCTTATTCTTTGATAAAAGCAATTTTCATCAGGTCATATTCTTTTCTGATAGAACGTATTTTCGTTCTTAATCAATTGAAGCTTTTGGTACTTTTGTACTTATTAGCCAATCTCATGAAACTAATTCAAAAGATTAACTCAAGACAACGTGAATACTTGTGTGATATACTCAAAAACTAATCAAATAAATAAATGTAAAAGATATATCATAAAATTATAAAATCGAATTGAAATCAAAAAATAGTAATATGTATGAATTTAATTTAGATATTTAAATTTATTTTAGTATGTGCATAGCATCAACTTCAATAGAAATCAATAGAATAAATAAGGTAGATGTTTCGACTTTGGCAGCCTCAGTTTGGTAAATGTCCAGCTCGTGTCCCAAAATTTAAAATATTTATTTTTTCTATTAACCACTTTCACCAACCGCCACTATTGTTGAATTATCTCGTAACCTGGTTAAAGCACTTGCAAATGCGCTTGCCTAGATTTCTATGAAAGTAATCAAAAAATATATATTCTTCAAATACTTATAAGTAAATTTGTTTTTATTTAATTTAGTGTATTACAAAATTATCATAACAACTACAAAATTTTCTACTGATTAATATTAATCAAAATAAGTATTAAAATTAATTTTAACTTTAAGACAAAATTAAAAATAATTCTTTGATTCAAAGTCAAAATAGCTTCCTTTTTAAAACAAAGTTAAGATATTTAAATACATTGCCTTATAAATTCAATAAAATGTTTACAGATTTTTACTATTGTACGCTTAAATTTGAACTATAATTAAAAGTAAATATGATTATCGTGCCAAAGTAATCAATACAACACCTTATTCACAATAAATTAAATAAAAAATTATTATTATAAAATTAAATTCAAATTAATAAATTTTAAAAATCCATATGTTGTTTAATACGATTTAAAAATAAATACATAACTTTTCTAGCTTAAATTTCTGAATGACAGAAGATACTGCTGGACCTTCAAGGAAACTAATTATTATTTAATAAAATGTTCAAAAATAACAATATACATATCACTAATTTATTTTAATTCTCTACACATCGCAAACGTAAAGTATATTAGCATAGACTTTTACGAATGATTGATATTTGAAAAATATAAATAAAATACTGTAGAAAATATAAAAAAACTGAAATTGTTAATCATCTACATATTACAAAGAAAAAACATTAAACTAATATAAATTTGAGACATTTGCTTTTGTTAGATAATTAAATGTTAGATAATTAAACTAATATAACAAAATTGAGACAATTTTGCTTTTATTATATCTCATTAAATATTAATCAAACTATTGTAATTAATATTGACTTGAATTTTAGTAAATTATGATTGAATATTACTCTAATTCTGAAAAACAATGCTCAAGATTTTGAGTAAAAGAATTAATCTATTTAAGCATGATTATAATATGATTATAAAATGAACATAATTATAAAAACATGGGTGGGAAAAAACACAATATTAGCGAGGTGCTTAGACTACAAAAGGTTTATGTCGATAAAAATTCCAAAACAGCATGGGCAACTGCAGACAAAATCGATGATGACATCTTATTTGAAAAATACGTCAAGAAACAAAATGATCTTATAATAAAAAATAAAATGACAAATAATCAATTAACAGAGAATATCTGTAATACTATTGAAATGGACATAGATAAAGTCTCTGAGGGGGTCATCCGAATTTTTTGTATTTTGGTCGTTTTTAAATAAAATTTTGGATTTCTTTTAACTGAATAAAAATTTAACTTAAACTTGTTAAAAATCAAGTTTGAGAAATTCAAAATTAAAATTAAATGAATTAAAATTAAATCCCTTAAAAATTATTAGGTCTGCAACATATGAGGGCTCAGCCGGTTAATTGAAACTAATAATCATAAAATTATATTTATAGTAAAAAATCCAACTGACACTAAATAATTTAATCTGGTCTATTGTATCTCAGCGATTATTCGTAAAACATAAAAATTTTAATTAACAATATAAATTAATGAACAAAGGGAGATTCATAAAAATATCAATACAACGCTAGTTTTTTTGATTATTTATTTCAGTTTTTTCATAATATTAAATTCTATGATTTTTTAAATACAATTGGAATTAAAATAAATGGAAAATTTACATAATATTTATATTAATTACTAATCACCCTATAAATAAAATAGAAAAGATTTAATAAACAGAAATTAATGACTTAGTAAAATGATACAATTAATAGTGAATATAAATGTAAAACGAAATAAAGTATTACTAACTAGTAATAGAAAAAGCAAAAGCATTTTTTAGAATATAAATTTATATATTTATCAATATATATAGTAAAGCATTTAATATTCAAGTTTAAACGAAATTCTAGCTTCAGAAATTATCTAAGGTGCCATTTAGTTAACACAAAATAGATATGTAAAATAGATTTGTAATAATAAATAAATACATTTTATTACTGAAATATTAGATACATATCTATAATAAAGAAGCACTCTAATGCAATAAAGAGAAAAATACATAAATGACCAAGTTTCCTCTGTAGGCTTAGGTAGAGAAATTAAGAAAAAATTTTAAAATTAAAATTGAAAGTTTGCAAAGAGATTTCTCACGCCACCAGCTACAAGTATTGCTAGTGAGCAGGCTTTTTCTACTGCAAGAGATGTGTTCACCTATCGTATCGTCGAATGAGTATTAAAGAAGAAAAGCAGAAATGGTGATTTTTATTAGAAAATAAGTTTTAAGTACTGATTTTTTAAGAATTAAAAAAAGCTATCTTTCACAGCATATTGGACGGAAGAAAGAATAGAATAATTTAATTTTTCAGAATGTAAAATTGTCATACAATAAGGATGTATAGTGTGAAAAATATAAAATAATATTAAAAAATATTAAATAATTTTATATTAAATAATATTTCTTTTAATCGGAAGATTTTCCCTATAAATTTTTCTTCAATGTAATAAACCAGCACTAGAAACTTTTATAGTCTTTAAAGATTGCCTATATTTGCTTCATGATAAAGAGCATAAATTTAATTAAAAAATGTTTATAAAAAATTATTTTCCAACGAAAGACAATTGTTTAATCATTTTTAAATTTAGGTTTGAACCTAAAACTTGGATCATTGAAAAAAAGTAGGAGCCTAACTCACTATCCAGTCAACTACACAGTTCTTTAAAGGAAAAAAATTTTTTCCCCTTACTTTTCTACATCCTCTATACCTTTCACTCACATAACTGTCATTAGGGGTGTATAATATTTTCGCCTTTCGCCCGAAAAAGTTAAAGACGAAAGGCGAAAGACGAAACTGCACACCCCTGATGTATATTTATTTATAGGGCTGTTTATTATGTGAAAAAAAATAAAATTTTTCGAAAAATTCAAATTTTGGTTTGCTGGACATTTTGATGTTAACCTAATCAGTTTACAGAAAAATTTTAATTTAAGACAACTTATGGGCAAACTTCTGTTAATGCGATAAAACTTAAATAAATTATGTTAAAAAATCTCTCTCAATATTATATTAGAGAATAAAATATTACTCTTATTTCTTCATATTTTAATTTTTCAAGCTTCTTTTTCAATTCATTACAAGAATTTGTCCAACATTCTAAAGCAAGAATAATGTCTTCTTCCTTTGGAATTATTCCTTTAGAAATTAAATCTTCTCTTTTCCCAGAAAATAAAATTAATTCGTGACCAGGGTCTTGATGAATTGTTGTCAATAAAGTTTTTGCTGCAGTCTCGGCTAAATTTATACTATGTTATATCAATCCATTTAATCAGAAAAACCGATTTAGAAAGCCTCTATGATAAATTTTGGATGTTAAATTTGGGTGTCAATATAAATTATCTTTTGAATAAACTTAAACTTAAAAACTCTTTAAGTTTTAGTTAAAAAATTAATTTATAACTTTTATAACTTTTTTTCTTACATCCTTTACCCGATTAGGTAGTGAAAGGTTTTTATAAGAAATATAGTGGCAATTTTATCATTCTATGTTATTTCAACTTTATAGCGTCAACAACATCATTATCTAATTGCTCAAAGAAAAATATTATTTCATTCAATAAAATTTATTTATATATTTATATAAACTTTTTTTTTAATTTTATAAAAGATTAAATACTCCTATTATGTAAAATTTATTATAAGTAATTATTATTTTTTAATTTCATACAATTTATTTATTTAGTGTATTAAAGATAAAATAATCTTACTCAAACTTTTCACTCAATTATTTTTTGTATTTTTTAATTTTATGATTTATCCTTCCTCTTCGGGGCTTGGTCTGAAATATTCAGCGCGTTTATTATTATATAAAATAGCTATTTCATTAAAATGTTATACATCTTTATTGTCTAATATAATTAAGTCTAAAATTTGTAGATTTTATAAATTCCTGCTAAATTGTGTTGATTAAAATCCTTAATACTAGTCGAATTTACTTTTAATGGAATATATACCTAATTGATATGTTTTTATAAAATATACTCAATTTAACTTTAAATTAATGTAGAGTAGTATAATTAAATAGACATATTAACATAAATATATTATTTGGAGGGAAAATGGAAATGGATTTTAACTATTGTGCGCATTTATTTTGAGCGGCAACGAAATTTTTATAAAATTTATAAAAAATTATGTACTTTTTCAATACTAATTGTCTTATCATTTCTTTTATACTTTAATTTGCAAAAATTTGCTTAATGTGATTATTTTATTTTTAAACATTAGATAATATTAAACTATTATACTTATATTTTATTCATAATACTAATTTAAAGTTTTTAATCAATCTTTACTTTTTAATTTCAATTTGTTAATTTTAAATAAAAATTTAAACTCTTTTCCATAAAATTTATTTATTTTACTTTGATTCAACAAATTGATTCATAAATAACATCAATAATCTCATCTAATTCCAGTATGGCTTGTTGTTTTGTACATGTTCGGGTAGAACACTTTATTAAAAATTTTTATGTAGCATTATTTTACTAAATAACATTAATCTAAGTATTTCTTCGGATTAAATAACATTAATCTGAAGAAATTATAGTAATAATCACGGCGCTGAATGTTATCTTATCGATTCCAAATGAAAAGTATTTTTTGTATATTTTTCGATTTTATTTATTATAGACTTAAATTGAATTTAATATTATAGAATACATAACTAAAATACATAAAAAATTTATAGAATAAATTAATAATCTTTTTTTCCGGAAAATCGTTTTAAAACGATAATTTTTTGATTTTTTTCTTTTTATTTAATATAATAAATTCGAAACCTTTTATGGACCATATAATAAGGCAATGCATATGAATATTTGACACTAAAATACTAATTGAAAAATTTATTACATTTAGAGAGATTTAAAAAAAAATTAAAATAATTACTTTACTAATGTAATTTTCCACCTTTTCTAAAATCACTAATATTTTTGAAAATTAGAAAATTACCATCATCAAGAAGATCATTCGAAAATATTTTCATTATTTATAAATATATCATACTTTCATACATATTTGGCCTATTTCTGGCTTCCCTTCCCAAATATTATAAAGCTAAAAATAATGTTACAAGGTGTTCCATTTTATAATTCCCATTTAAAGAAAGAAAAGAGATGAATATAATTTATTTTCTTCCTCTTTAACGCGATAAAAAATTAATTAGATTTAAATTAATTAATTTCATTTTATTTATTTTTAATTGAAGAATTAATATAAATTATTCAATTTATTTGATTAATTTACATATATAATAAAATTAGCTTATTGTTACACAAATCAATAAATAATTAATAAATATTATTATAAAAGAATTTAAATTTTTATTGATTCTATTTTAAGGTTTAAAATTTGGTAATTAATCGATTTATTTAAAATACCATCTAAATTTTTACTAAACTTATATCATAATTCTCTCTTTCGACTTTTATTACTTATTCTCGTAATCATTATGATGTTTTTTATTTTATATTGATGATTTATGCTGTTATTAAACAGACGATGTTCCAGTTCATGTCTCAGGGCATCATTTATTTATGTCTCCGTTACTTAATATTAAGGCTTATATTTTAAGTTTTTATTAGTGAACATAAGTTTATGACTAATAATTGTATCTCACTTTTTTATGTAGTGAAGTTTATTAATAATTTTAATTTTCAATAATTTTATTAATGATTTAATAATTGATTTAATTTATCAATGATCTTTTATAAATAGAGAAATATATCTCTATGGTTCGTTTTTGTTTGAATAGGTCTTCTTCCAGATAAGTTCATTAAAATGAAGCCTTATTTTTAAAAAATGTAAAAGTTTTTAATATGAAAATAGAAAGAAGAAGATATAAGTAATTTAAAGATCAATTTAAATTTTTAATTTAATTTTAAAGTACTATTTTAAATACTTTTGAGATATAAATCCTTACCATTGCATGAGCACTATTGCAAGCTGACTAACTTATTTCTATATCGACTGCAAAATTTTTTAGTAAAATTTTCTAGTGCTTATTAAATATTTTTCTTCATTAACATCTTCAAATATTTTTTACTTTTTACCTATAGATTTTTAATTATAATTAGACATTGATATGCCTTAATTTAAGTATAGTGTGGATTTTTTAATATTTTAAAATATTTAATCTAATTATTTATATTATTTATTATATTATTTCATATTTTCATTAAATCTTCTTATATTCGTGTGAATTTGTTAC